TAACATAACTACTGCCAGGGTGTCAGCTGTCATTGTTGAAAGTTGTCTCCCAAATTTTTATTATATCAAGCAATTAAAATGTTTTAATCGGTAAATCAAGTTCTTGAATTTATTGAATCGACTTCTGAATCTCGACATTTTGCAATTTCGGCACTAATCGCGTTAATAATGCAATATTTCTTATTTGTAGAATGTACATTTTTTTTGGAGAAAACTGCTCCAGAATTCTTCGTATTATTAAAATTCATTATTAATTATTATATTTCACTCAAAAATATTTTTTCTAATTACTTAAATTATTAAATGTAATAAATTAGAATTTTATTATCTACTAGCTGACCCTGCAAACATCGTACTGCCTCAATGGATAAATAAAAGACCTAAAATGACCAAATGTCAAATATTATGGTTGCGTTCAGAAATTTAATTTGTGACAAAACTTAAGATTTATCAATCTACATAAAAATAATCTGAAAGATAGTTAACAACTTTCATATTTATTCACCTTTTAAACCTTTTCTGGACTTCCACAAATAATTCAAGATCAAAATTAGCCAAATTGGTCCATCCGTTCTCGAGTTTTAGCGTGACTAACGAACAGCAATTCATTTATATATATACAAAGATTTATATATTTTGGTTATGAATTGTCATGCCAACGAACAACTGACACCCTGGCATTAGTTCGGATGTGACTACCAGTCAGCGCAGCCTGTCCACCTTCACTCTGTCCTATACTGAACCAATCTATGCATTTCCCTAAAACTAAAACATCCTATATCCTTAAGTATTTGCGAACAGTAATCTAATCTAGGTCTATCTCTACTCTTAAATTAACCGTTTGCGAGCATATAAGTGACTTCCTTTTATTGAAGGCGACTCGACCCTACGCTATCCTCTGCTTTATATCCCTACTATTCTTTCCATCCTGACTTATCCGACTTTCTAGATACCCAAAATCAGCCACTTCTTCTAATTTTCGTTTCCTATATTCGCTCTTTTCCTATTTTTTCTTCCCTTGCATACCACTATTTTTATTTTACTTAACTTCATACAATATTTTCTCAATACGGCTTTCATTTTATTAAAAGCTATCTGTAAAGCCTCTTTGTAAAACTAGAATTGCCTCCCGTGTTCCTCTATTTCTTCTTAACCCAAACTGACCTTCCCCCTAATAATTTTTTCTCTCTTTTTATCATTTTTTTTTGTACAATTCTAGTTAAGATTTTTGACGCATGGGAAGTTAAGCTAATTGTTCTAAATATCTCGCAACTATCTGCGCCGCTGTGTTTAGGTGTCGTTACCATCACGTTCCATTTATAATCCTCCGGGACTTTTCCTGTCTCGTAAATGTAACTACCTAGCTTAAACATACGATCTCTAACCTTTTGTCCTGCATGTTTCAGAATTTCCGCCTGTATCCCACCTGTACCTGGCGCCTTATTATTCTTTAATTTTTTTAATGCTACATCAAACTCTTTTCTCATTATGAGATAACCTTGCTCACCTTTCTCCACACTATCTTCCTTTTCTAATATATCTCCTAACTCATGGCCTGCGTATAGGTTTTCTTCTTAATAGTAATATTCCACCTGTCTGCCTTTTCCTCATTTTCTATCAAAATGACCTCTGTCTGGTTTCTTATAATTATTACTACTGTACTCTACTTATCTAAAATTCCTTTTAATTATATTATAAGTCTTCTCGTGTTACCTACTTCAAACTTCATATCAATCCACTGTTCATTAGCTGCCTACATTTCCTAATTATTTTTTAGTCTATCTTTTTTACCCTTCGTCTGTCATAGAGAAACATTTTTGTTTCTTTCAAACTGTTTAAACAATTAAAACGTCTCTTATCATTGCTATAGGATACAGCTCTTGCATTTTTAATTCGGAAAGGACATTTAAAAGCAATTTTCGCTATCTGTATTCTTTGTGCTAACTTCCTCTTACTTCGCACTTGATTGGTCTCATTTTATGTTAGTTATTAGAGCATAGTGATTTAAAACTGGAAATGCTCTGGTATTTCTAACAAAATAGCGATTATTTATGCTGATTTTACAGACAAAAATTTATATTTATAAACGATAAACAACACATTGACAATACTCAATAACCGTTATTTTTAAAATACATACCACTTGAACGTGTACCAAACTTTGCTTTTATATACGATATATTACCTGTCAATGACTCCTATATACCTACACATATTATGAATAGGGATATCCTATATTATAGACTCTCATCAGAAGATTTCATTACCTGATTAGGAAAGCGCATTCATGTATTAATTATTTAGGTTAGCAATAAATAATGCTTTGGTACACATACTATGTATAAATTTTTGGAATAACACAACACTGTCGTCTGTTACTTACGATTAATTAGTTGACAGACATTTTAGTATAACTTTTAGCCTTTTTAAATACATACATTGCCACCTTTCGAAGTTTGTTGTACTTATGGAGTTCCCATTTGTTTCCGTTATTGTACGAATTCTAAAAGTGAAAACTAATATAGGGTGAATAGCTGTTTATTATTAAAAAATTAGCAATCAGTTAGGTTAATCACAGGGTTTTATAAAGGTGGGTTTCTTGACCAATATATTGTTATTACTCGTAAAATATATGCTTCAGGTATTACATATTACATTAATTCTCGTTTAATGCATTGTATCATACGATAACGTTAAAAAAGAAACAGTTGGTTTTAAATATATGTTGGTTATTCTTCATGTGGTCTTTCAATTTTACGTTTCGTTTATTATTTTATATTTACTGTTTAATTGTGCGGTTCAAATAAGTTTTTTTTAAAGTCGTCCTATATAATGCACATCCTCTAATTCCCTTCGTAATATTTACTTCTCTACGATGTTGCTCTTATGTAAACTGCATATCTACTTATTACTTTTCTATACCTAAACCACATCCCTATATCTTTAAGCATTTTTAATATCTCCCACTTAACATTGTTAAATTTCTCAACTAATATCCTTAAAGCTAATAAAGCCTCGCGCATTCATCTGTTTGATTATACCCTAAAATTTCATTCATCTCTGTATGATCCCAATTAAGATTTTTGGCGTAGAAGAAGTTAAGCTAATTGTTCTAAAATTCTCTAACTATCCGCGTCTATCTTTTATGGTATGTCTATAACATTATTTCGTTTGTAATCATTCCGTTTCGTAATATGCCTAACCAATTTAAACAAACTATTCCTAATCATTTGACCTGCATGTTTTAAAATATTTGCCTGTACACCATCTATACCTGGCTTCTATTATTCCTTAAATATTTTAATGTTTAACTTAAACTCTTCTCTCATGAGGTATTCTAATTCACATACATCCACGCTGTCTTCATTTTCTAATACATTTCCTAGCTTGTTCTGCGTATAGCTTCTCTAAGTATTCCTTCCATCTATCCGCCTTTTCCTCATTTTCAAATAAAATAACTATTGATTTGTTCCTTATAATGATTACTATTGTGTCCTATTTCTCTAAAATTCCTTTTAATTAATTCTATTTACTTCAAAGTGTTCTTTTACCCTATAACCGTAGGTCATATACCTACGTACTATCTAACCAATGCTGATTAGCTGCTCTACACTTCTATTGATTTCCCACTTTATTGTTTTATACCATTATTGCCCTTCTTCATCTATCCTGCTCTTTATTTCCATCTTTCCTCTATTAATCTTACGATCTGGTTTGTTATCAAGAGCTTTTTAATCTTATTTTGTTTAAAATCCAGTATATCTTTAGCTGGGGATCTATACTCGTTTTAATAAAATCCCATTCTTCCGCTTCCTCTTGAACCTATCTCATCTGTTTTGTAACTTACTTACTTACTAACTTACTTATCATGCGTATCATTATAATTTCGTTTTCCAAATCAAGACGTTTCTTACCTTTTCACTAATTTGTAATTTTAAATTTAAGATTTATTAAAAACATGAAAAATACAAAATTCCCCATAAAATAAGTTCTAGTTCTCTAATTGAAGATGAAACCTTGGATGGCGAAAGATGCTTCTTAGGTTATGTGGAATTGAGATTTTTATTGTTTTATTTAGTTCAGTTCTATAGAATTCCATCTGATTTTCTTGTATCATATTGTGGTGTTATAGAAAAATGTTAAAAATACTGTGGATAGAAAAGGTTAGAAACAAGGAGGTATTAGAAAGGAGTAGGTGAACAGAGGGCGTTTGTAAGTCAAAAACAAATATGCGTAATTGGCTGGTAGGGCACCTTTTCAGACATAAAGGACTAGTTAGAGATATATTAGAAACAGAAGTTAAGGGTGGGCAGGGGTAGATCTAGATCAGATTACTGTGTGCAAATAGTTAGAGATGTATATAGGTTGCAGTAATTTTAGAGAAATGCGAAGCTTTGGATAAGACGTGCAGGTGCGTGCCCACTTCAAGTCTTCAGTCTTACCGATCTCATGATAATAATGATTCGTAGCATGAAAAATAAACTATCAAGATAAAAAATCAGTAAAAGAAAAGCGTCGACTTGGAATTTATCTATTAATGCTTGTCTTCTGTAAACCACAAAAATGAAGGAAATACAAGTTTATAGTTCACCAATTTATTTGACGACTTGACAAATTAACCACAAACTTAAATGTGCACCTATCTAGTGCAATATATCCCACTTATAGTTTTGGTATAAGTATGTGAAAAAATTTTATTATTTTTGCTTATGATCATTTGAACTCTAAAATTCACTTTGGGATATATTAAAAGGGATAGAGGGATATATTAAATATTCCTTACCCTAATCAAAAATAGGTAAATCATTGTTGAATAGAAGTAAAAGACATCTGATTATTTTACTCAATCTCCAGTTTTTGTTCGTCAAAAAAATTCTAAAAATTACATTCCATTTTTACGTAATGAATACTAAACAAGTGGAAAATATAATCAATATGTAATAATTCTTTTTAGGATGGTGTATTGATATTATAAACATTAAATTCACCATTCCTTTTAGTTTTGACCGAGACCAGCCTTTTACATTCCAACTAGGTGTAGGACAAGTTATCAAAGGATGGGATGAAGGATTATTGGATATGTGTGTTGGAGAAAAAAGGAAACTGACAATTCCTGCTAGTATGGGTTATGGAGATCGAGGTGCTGGAAATGTAATACCTGGTGGCGCTACTTTATTGTTTGAAGTAGAATTAATAAATATTGGCGACAGTCCCCCAACAACAAATGTATTTAAAGAAATAGATGCAGATCAAGATAATATGCTCAGCAGAGACGAGGTATATGGATATTGGGATTATACAAAAAGATGTTTCAAATGTTTCGATATTTGTTAAAAAAAATCTTATAAGGATTCTGTATGTTTTTAAATGTTAATTGAAGATACATTATTTTTAAGGTAAGCGAGTACTTAAAAAAGCAGATGGCTACTGCTAGCGAAGGAGAACAAAATGATGAAATTAAGAAGATGCTTGCTGAACATGACAAATTGGTTGAAGAGATTTTCCAACATGAAGACAAAGACAGAAATGGATTTATATCACATGAAGAATTCTCAGGGCCTAAACATGACGAACTTTAACATGAATAAAACAGTGAATAGGGAATAATTTGTAGATTATCTTTCTGACTGACTTGGTTTTCTTCCTTTTCTTTGTTTACGTAGCTTCAGAAAATATTTTTTTTACAACTTCCGTTTATTATTGAGGTGCTTATTACATTGTATGAATAGTTTTCCCTTATACATATTTTACATTGAAAAGAAATTCTCGTACTTAACCCTGTATGTATGTATTGCATATTTTATACACCTCATAGTTCTTCTTTTGTTTCTTATTGTTATTAAGTTGTTAGTTTATACATTAATTGTTTAAATATTTTAAAAGTAAATAAACAATTTTATATAAGTACGTGTGCGTAAATTGTTTTTTTTACAGTTAAATAAATAAAACAATGTTAGTTTTACATCTAACATAGGACGTCGTGCTTTTAAAGACCAAGGTTATCAGATCGAACAATTGACGTGCCTTTCTTTCTCATTTCTTCTCTCACTTGAGGCGCCATTGATTAAATAGCGCGAATTTTGTCTTTAACTCCGGCTTACGCGTTTCTGCTTCATTCACGAAACTACTCTCACACACGCACATACTAAGCCTTAGGATACTTCATTAAATTTTTATGCTTTTATTCTTCCATATTTCAAATAATCTTTTTTTTAATAAGTATTGTGTGCACCTTCAATAGAGGTAGAAGTGCTATTTAAAAGGCTATTGTTACATATAGAACGTGCTAAACGTCCAAAGTACTTTTCGGCAACAAAGTTAATTTTTGCAGATAAGAGAACTGTCTGAAGAAAGTAACTGTTGTGTTTCTGCGTTGGGATTTCAGCTATTTGGAGGTTTTTACAACCGGCAAAGTTTCCAGTCTTCCTGATTTTAGTATTACAAAGAACAGTAGTCTTTGATTGCCCATCATTACCCTACGATGTTATTCTTGACACATTCTCAAAGATTATAGAAGAAGAACTGATGGCAAGTGAACATCGAACCCACAACTTTTTAGATGCATCGTCATCTATTACCAGCACATCCTTAATTTACGAAAGTATAAAATAAAACTATAATTGTAACAAAAGTTTAATTTACATAGTCACATTATCATGAGAATAATTGAATTTGAAACGTTTTGTTTCAGAAATTAATGATAACAAAACAATTAATTCGAAAACTAAGGAAACAAAAGGATAGGCAAGTTTCAATTGGAAAACTTACAAATATAGAGTAAAATCATTTAAGACTAGCAAAATTATTGAAAGATATTAATTAGGCAGTAGCAATTTGCCTATTACATAAATGTAATAAATAAAATGGTGTAAAATTAAATTAAAAATGTATCACAATATAAAAGAGCAAGTAAAGTGAGTATTAGCTTAGCAGAACTTCATTCATTGAAAAATTAAACCGTAATAGTAGCAGATTGAAAAAAAATACCCTGTATGAGCTTAGCATTTCTATATGGATATCTTCTTCTAATAACTTTTAATGTATGTTGACAGATGCTTTTTTTCTTCTTCCGATAATCCATTTTTCAATGTTCTTCGTACTAAAACAATACAATCAAGGCATAAAAATTATTTAATTAAGAGTTTAAAATAAGCATGTGTATTTTGCAGTTCAGTTGTAATAGTAATTTCAATAACAGCTTGTCCACAATTTATTACGTCACACAAACTTAGCATGCACATAAAATTAAAAGTATATAATAGCACCCGAATAACATTTTAGTTTGTTAATTAAAAGGTAGTTAATAAAAACTGAATATTTATACATTCGTTACATTTACATAGTATTTGTAAAACATTGATGAAATTTCTTTAGAATTCTGTCTAAATCATATATGTATATATAAATTGTACCACTACCTTTTTCTAATTACAGATACAGAATTGTAGTCATAATAATAGGGACAACAAAAGTGTTTTATCTCTGACTAAAATAGTCATCGCTGGCGCTGCTGAGCCCTATAAGCTGCTCTCAATATTGTCTTACAATAATTTACAATATGAACATGAAATATAGTATAGTTACACGATTTAAGAACAAAATCGAATACAACTTGTCTACACCAACAGAAAATTTGCCTTGCAACGAGAAATCAAGCAATTTGTAAATGTATGTAAGTAGGTATTCTAAATCCAGTAAAACTGCCTGTCAGCTGTCGTACTGACAAGTATTAGCCATTTCTATCAAATTAGAAAAATTATTATTTCTACATGCTGTAAAGGATCTTTTACTCCAATTAACTGTTACTTAATTAGGTACTGATTGAAGACTAAAAAGACATGTATGATTTGTGCCAACTTCCACTAATAACATACAAAATTAGCAAAACATCAGTTTTGGTCTGTACTTCGAAACCATTTTGGATTATTTCAAATTTATCGGAAAGTTCTAATGGAATTTTATTACTTAATTCTTTCTAGGGTGTTTTACCTAATTCTTTCTGAGGTGTTAGGTGCGTAGCTAACCATTCTCGACTCTCGATAACCATGATGATATGTGAACAGTTAGTTATGTGTATTTTTTTAAGAATTAAACCAATGCCACATAACACTTTCCTGATACTTGACATTTGTGACGTAATAAATATGTGGACCTTGACTTAGTATTTGTACGCACGCATGGGGAAGAAGTCAGATTTAATAGCTGAACTGGGATATGTACAAGAGCTACAAAAAAAACTATAACGAGGCAAAAACACAACATACCACAAGGAGCCAACTATAAAACAGTAGCATATGAAATTTGTAATCAGTTGATGTTAGTCCAATTTAATTTTCTTCTAAAAAAGCTGAAATAGTAGTGTAAATATTTAAAACATTCAAGTATTTTAGATTTTCTCATTATTCGTGAAATAAATAGGTACCTAATGTGGTTATCAAATAATAACATAACAGGTTCATATTTATTAAGGGCTCTTCCGTTTGTTGATAACAAAAAAATAAAACATGCACGCACTCAATAACACTGAAAACAGTACAGTTAGCTCTTCATCAATTTAAAACAAAAACACACGTTGAACATACCAAATATGATATAAACTACGACGACTCTTTGCCACCAAATGGGTTATTTTCTCTTGTACGCGATCTCTTTACTGAACAAATAAATTAACAGAAAATAAACAAGTGTATATACATTAAGTTTTTGGATATACTTACGCATACGGATTACCCCCAAATAGCATGAAAATTTGTATAGGGGCGTGGGTGGATGAAAAAATCGGTATTTTTCTTAGTTTTTGAGATATCGAAATTAACTCACTTGTTGGATTTACCTACCATAACTTCATGATCTTGAGCTACCCGTCAAAACAAAAAAGACTGTAAGTCAAACACTTCCAGCAAAATTCATTTTAACTGCTCCTCTGTTCCGGTTAGACGTTACGAAGCTAGTAACATAAGCATTTGCGAGATTTTTAACGGTCGGATTCGTGCTCAGCACAGCAATAAAACCCCTTGCCTTTACAAATTTTCATGCGATTTAGAATTAGGCCGTATACGGAAATACAGCTAAGCTTTCAACTTGCATTTATTAAAATTAGTTTGTAAAACCGTTAATAATTAGACTAGACTTTACTCAATATCATAGTGTAGGTGCCATTTTTGAGTTCAAGAAACTATTTTTGGTAAAAACAGTCATACGGATGGATAGACCGAAACTACAAGGATTCGTAGTTCTCAACAGTTAACAATGTAACTATGTAGTAGAATAAAATAACATGTAGAAATCGTATTTTCAGGAAACAAAAAAATTTACCTGCATTCAATTATGCTAATAACTATTAAGTATATTTAAAGAAAGTGACTAAACGTCCGCCGGCGAAATTATCTGTTGTAAGAAAGAAGTCCGACTAATGGCAGAATTAATACCACTACGATTAAAGTTCGCAGACATTTTCAACGTTAACGCAAACAGGTTTATTTTTTTATTCAAGTAAAATTAGTCTTTACTCGTCAAATACGCGGAAGTGGAACATAGTAATATTCTATACCCTATATTTTACAATTCCGTCTTCATTTCTTAACATCCGGATATGCCCGAGTCTTGTATATAAGCTAAACGTACATATAAAAAAATCAATGGTTTAGTCCTAAGTGCCTGATTAATTTTGTTAATTTGTCTTTTATTATTGAGCACTTTCCTATGCTGGTTGTACTAGGAAATCTGCCGTGTGACGTCTTCGGGGTTTAATGACGTTTGGATACTGCTTCATAGTAAACGCGTGTATTTCGTATATTTGTGGTATACTTGCATGAACACCCGACCCGTCTTCTACAAAGAAGAAAATGGAGACTGCGATAAAGAAACAAAGAAATTAAAAGATTCACCCCAATTATCACTAAAACTTTTTACAGCGGACAAGTGCCTCATGCATTTCTAATGTGTGCATTATCAATACGAGAAAGTCAACATTAGAAGTTGGTGAAACATGTGCTTTTAGGTCTAGCGCGCACTGCGATTTTTTAGTTTTAGTTTGTGACCAAATAATCGCAGCTTTTAGTCATTTGAATTGTTATTGTGAATAAATGCTAATAATACTAAAAGGAAGCAGAAGAGACAATATTGGTTCCATCCTACCATAAATCTGAGATTAGTAAAACGATAATTTTCGTTTTTAAATTTCGAATATCATTCTTTCCGTACCAAAGCTTTATGTGATGTTTCTTCTTCCCTTGCAATAGAGAACTCATAATATAGCATGTTTGATAATCACAATGTATTCATTAATTATGTATAAAACAACAGATGATCATCAGCACAATTCATTCTGCGTCCGCGACAATCACGCCGCAAGAAAAATAGGACTAGTTGCGATTTTTAATCGCAACGATTATTTAGTAGCATGTGTTAAATCGCAGTACGCCCTAGGCCTTAATTTAGTTTTATTAAGGTTATTCACACATGTAGTGCCGTACTCATGCTGTCCTACCCTTGTGCACTTTAGTTGTACATCAAAAAAAAAAAAAATACAACGTGTAATTATACAACACGCTACTGAAGTGAAACTTCTTCAAACACGCAAACATACCGGGATAGGGGTTAAGGAATTGGTTTAATGGTATTATTTGTACACTATGAATTTAAATTTTACACTATACATGCCGGAGTTGCCTGTAACGAACGTTGCATTGAAGCGCGCTCACGGCTCAAGCGATCCCCACTACGAACTCGACTACGTGGCCGAGTAGAGGGGGGATCGTTGCATGATTTCGTTACATAGCAACTCGTATGAAACGAACTTACCCTACCGTGCGTAAAGAAGTTTCACTTCAAAAATATAACTAATACGAGCTAACAGGTTTAAATTCGAAAGGCGCCATATGTGTGAACGTTTTTCTTATACGATAATCATTACGTTCGATCATGGGGGTTCTGATAGTATCTTAGACAGCACTTCCTACCCATAATATTTCATAATGTTTTCATTAGTTATACATAGGGTTGCCATCTCTAAAATTTGGAAACCAGGACAAGACGCGTGAAAACCCCGGATTTTAGAGTCCAGAACCCGGACATGTCAACAGGTTTTTTTAAACATAGTCAGTGTAACAAAAAACAGTTGAAAACGTCATAAATCACCCTTTTATTTATTTTCAGACCTTAAAATTAAATTTAGTCATTCTTTATCATCATTTTCAATGTACCTAACAAAACAGAATCTTATTACAGTTTGTTTTAATAATCAGTTAGATTTCTTTTACGTGTGTGGCGGGCGGCCCAAGACTTTAAATTTTTAAACCAGGACTACAAATGAAGCCCCCCCGGACGCTCCCCGGATGCCCTCTAAACTAGGACAAATCCGGGGAAACCCGGACGGATGGCAACCCTAGTTATACATGGCTAGTAGCAATTTATTTATTGATCAGATATAAATTGACATCGGCAAATATTATGATAAAATATGATACAATGTAGAAATAGTACGAAGGTATATAACAGAAGTTATATATGTAAGTTGATTTAATTAATTAATCAAGTTCTTAGCTTCATGTTATCAGAGGCCTTGGTAAATATCTATAGGGTATACATATACATATCCCTACTTTTAGCTAAACTTCACTTTTAGTGGCTTGTATCATTATTATAAAACAATAAATAAGTCAAATACATAGTTCAAGAAATTAATTAAGTAATAATTTAAATTTATGTACGTCTTATTGTTAGAATTTATTATTGTATTATTGAGTCGAGCCCTAGCACGGCAGGAGCACGGCACTATATGTGAAAATGTCGACAGAACGATGTGGTTCGCGAAGGGCACAGGCACATTGTGTGTGAAACAGTGAATCTTACAGTTCATTTATTGTTTTGTAAAATTATCATACCGTTAACAATTGATGTGAGGTGTGAAATGATTTTTAATTTCAAAAAAAGCATTCGCTCGGGTATTTTTTCGTCGACTTACGATGCAAAATTAGTTTCCACGAAAGTACCTTTTTTTAGCGCAACAATATATTGTCCACTGAGAAGATATATTCTAATTATAGATGAATGAATTTTTGAAATCGGATGAGTAGTTTCGAAGATTACCTATTATATCTAAACTTACAGACTATCAAAAAATTACTTCTTAACAATATTGGTATAAGAAAATACTACAAATACCGCAGTAAACGCTATCTGTAGCACGATGCTACATTTTAGGATTACGTATGCTCGTAATACAGACCAATTCGAATTATTTTAATATTAGTATATAGGTTCAATTGAAAAGTCCCCGGCCTGACACATAGATGGCGGCACCAGAACTAAATCCATATGATTTTCAGTTAGTCCTAACTTTCAAAAGACGTGTCTATAAATTTGACGGCTGTCGCATCATTAGTTTGTGAATTATAGCATTTTTAGTGAAGCAACTTTTGTTATTGTGAAAAAAATGGATAAAAAGGAATTTCGCGTGTTGATAAAATATTGCTTTTTGAAGGGAAAAAATACAGTTGAAGCAAAAACTTGGGTTGATAACGAATTTCCGGACACTGCCCCAGGAAAATCAACCATCAAGGATTGGTATGCTAAGTTTAGACGTGGTGAAATGAGCACCGAAGACGGTGAACGCAGTGGACGCCCAAAAGAGGCTGTTACGGACGAAAACATTAAAAAAATCCACAAAATGATTTTGAATGACCGTAAATTGAAATTGAATGAAATAGCAGACACTCTACAGATATCAACGGAACGTATACATCACATCATTCACGAATATTTGGGTATGAGAAAGCTCTGTGCAAAGTGGGTGCCGCGCGAGCTCACTTTTGACCAAAAACAACGACGAGTTGATGATTCAGAGCAGTGTTTGAAGATGATCACGCGTAATAAACCCGAGTTTTTGCGTCGATATGTGACAATGGATGAAACATGGCTCCATCATTTCACTCCGAAGTCCAATCGACAGTCATCGGAGTGGACTGCACACGATGAACCCGCTCCAAAGCGTGCAAAAACGCAACAGTCGGCTGGCAAGGTTATGGCGTCTGTATTTTGGGATGCGCGTGGAATAATTTTCATTGACTACCTTGAAAAAGGAAGGACCATCAACAGCGACTATTACATAGCGTTATTGGACCGTTTGAAGGACGAAATCGCCGAGAAACGACCGCATTTGCAGAAAAAGAAAGTCCTGCTTCACCAAGACAATGCACCGTCTCACAAGTCAGTGAAAACGATGGCAAAAATTCATGAATTGGGCTTCGAATTGCTTCCGCATCCACCGTATTCTCCAGATCTGGCCCCCAGCGACTACTTCCTGTTCTCAGATCTCAAAAGAATGCTCGTTGGGAAAAAATTTTCGTCGAATGAAGAGGTGATCGCCGAAACTGAGGCCTATTTTGAAGCAAAGGACAAATCGTACTACAAAAATGGTATCGAAAAGTTGGAGGATCGCTATAATCAGTGTATCACCCTTGAAGGGAATTATGTTGAATAAAAAAAACGAATTTTGCAGAAAAAAATGTGTTTTACTATTTTAGGCCGGGGACTTTTCAATTGATCTGTTACATTAGGTGCGTATAGGTACCGCTGACAACGACATCTATAGGCTATAAAGTTAGAAGTTGTGATTCTAGAAGTGTTTACAATTAGGCTGTCATGTAAGAGCTTATTAGATTATTATTTGATATAATTTAAAATAATTATTTCGTACAATATAGCATGCTATTTTTAAAAATTGCTCTTTAAAGTAACTAAAGTTGTAAGATTGTGTTGTCGATTTTAAGCCAATTTCCAATCACTAATTTTTATTTACTTTGTTGATTAAATAATTAAAAATATCCCTAATATTCCCAAATTATAGAAATCGTTGGAAACATTTTTATTTTTTCTTTTAATGTTTGTTCTCTTTCATCTTTTTCTAATAAAACTATCATTGGCCACTAGTACATTTGTCAAAATATTACTGCATATTTTAAATGTACCTACACTTAATGTTGAAGTTTGGAATTTTTACTTAGCGTGTACTCTGTATTGCAGTTTTATTGTATTTCTTTGTTTTTCCAATGATCTATTCTACATCATAGGTTGGTTTTATGTGGATGCCGAATGAAGCTAAAAAAAAATCAAAAGGGGGGTCTGGGTCTCGTGTTTTGCGAAAGAGTTACTTATCTAGCCTATAGATTACTCTGTCGCAGTTCCGCGTATTTGCCGATGATAGACGGATATTACTTGAATAATGAGTACTTAAATCCGTTGCGCTCGCGTAAACGATCAAAATAGCAATGGACTTTAAACGCAGGAGCGTTGATTCCGCCATACGAAGGACTATCTTATTTGACAGGTTGTGTACACCGCGGATTTTTCCGAGTTAAGAAATTACCCTCGCCGTCGTCTAACAATGATTGTTGTGCAACCGACGAATGCCACGGAAGGCGTTATCTTGAACTACGCAGCCAACGCAAACAAATGCACTTTTACACAAACAGCGGATTTTCTACCACTCCGCTAATCTTATCTTTTTTGACGGAATAACAATAACGCTAGAAGTTGTTCTTTGTTCACTTCAATGTATACAAGTAATTAATAATTTGAATAACACAATTTTATTGAAGTGAGTTACATTACTGCAAAAAGTATACGAGGGATTCGAAAATTTTTTTGTCCTGAAGAGAAGGAAAAATCCCTAACCTACCAAAAAAAATCGATCAAAAAAATCTATCGAATCATGCAGCAGGTCTTTTAATAGATAATTCCGCTGGCGAAAGTTTACTTCAATTTATCAAACTTAATAATAAAATTATAGTGAATGCATTAAACACTAATGAGATGTAGTGGTACTAAAATATTTTTAGTAATGTGTTTTTGTTGGGGTTTTTGGCGTTTCATTAACGCTTACGCTTATACAAGCATCATGAAAACTTCTTAGTAAATCATGATTCTTTTATAGATCAACATTTAACAAGGGAACTCGATGGCTTAAAAACCTGAACAGAAAACTACGAAAACCTAAATTTAATTCCTAATATTTTGATAGCAGCTTTTGCCATTCAGTAGGTTCACTTTAACAATATCTAGATTATATTATTTAATATGTTTCATTTCTTAGAAAATTCGGTACTCATGTCATTTTTCAAAAACTAAATCAGATAATTTTATAAAATGACCCAAAATCGAGTGAGTTCCATCTAGCAGAAAATATACTTATTTATAAATTCTCCTTTTTCTTATAAAGGTAGAAGTAATAAAGTTATTTCACAAGAAACACTATTATATGTAAATGTTTTCTAATTACTTACATGATTTTCTATCAGCGTGTCGGGTTCGTTTTCGTTCTCTTGGTGCTGTACGCGATGAGGGTCCCTTAGTTGCAGTTTTAACTAAACTTTCTAGAATTTCGTCATCGCCATCTGTTAAATTACCATTTGCCTGACTGAGTAGTGATGTTCGTGTATCTTTGCCTCTTCTTCTCCACGGCAAAGTTCCTTGTAGACTTTCAACATCAGAAATATCACTACCAAGAAGTTGCCTTAACTCTGCATCTGCTCTATCTTCTTTAGAACGAAACTTTCCAATCTAAAAGTGTAAAATCATCAATACGTGAACGTCGAAACTTTTGATACATATTTTGATATTTATTACAAAATGAGAGGAAAATCACTTGAAGATACTGTGCCATGGATGTACACATAATAATCATTTGTGTATGTTGCCAGTAAGGCAGGTAAACTTTAATGAAGAAAATTTAAGCATCACTCGGGAAACGAATGAAAGTCACGTGGCGAGCGAGCATTAATTATAAATACATATACAGACAAGGCTGGTCGCAATGGTAGAATACTCGTCCGTCATGTCCTGGATTTGGTCCCAGGCAGATACTTTTTTCTTATGTAAGCTTTTCTAATTATTATAAAAAATAAAAATAACTATTCTGAAGTAGTCTGTGTAGGGCGAAAGAACATGTAACCATGTATGTATAAAGTCCCAGCTTCTACATTCACTGCACGCAAAAAGTTCGAGTTTTTAGCGACTAGCATTTGAAGGTTGTTAATAGTATCAAATGAAAGGTACGTATTATTACGTATATGTGCAAAAATTAAAAAACAGTTCATCATGACACTGTTCTTCGAACTTAGTTAGGGAACTTCTAGTTTAGACTTTAATTAAAAGTGGATTAATACTAAAATGCTAATCGAATATGGTTATCTTAGAAAAAAATTGTACGCTAAAACTATATCGGCAAATTTATACAAGTTTTTTCAGACAAATTGGTATGACATGTGAGTTACATTTTTTTATACCTCTGTAATCATTTTTCCTCTCGTTTTATTTCGCTCGCGATGATTTGCCTTCTTTTCCAATTGCTGCAAAACTCTTTCTCTTGTTGTTCTGTACTCGAGAGCAAATTCCGAAATAGTTTTACAAAATTCATTTGGCTTTGTGTCTACAATTTGATGGAGAGGAATACCCAACCATAGCAGAAATTTATGGAATCTTAAAAATGTAAATGGTACAATTTATTTTAGAAATTAAATTAAGTGGTTAAATAATTACAAATACCTATTTATTATTCTTCGATGAATGATGCTGAGAATAATGATCCGTTCAGCGCAGTCTGTAAGGAAATCAGACATTTTAACTTTCATCATCGTCGAACCATCGTGTTTAGCTATTAATTTTAAATGATCCCAAGAGGCTTTGCAGTCTGCTTCTAGTCGTTGAATATTGAGCATCAGTTCGTCAAAGTCTATTTTGGATGCACGTGTTATTGCGCCAATCTAAATGAAAAAATTCAATATTAATAAATAATCGAAGAATTCAAGTATTGGTTGATATAATTTAATTGCTTTTTTTATAACAGAAGACTGATGAATTACAACGTAATTAGTCAAAATAATTTAAACAACGAAAGATATGAATACATCTACTATAGTTTATTACTTAATACTTATTCATAAGTACAAGAAGTAGGAGTCTTGTATTGAACTGCTCAGTTATTGGCAAAATTAAACTTGACTAATGATAATTATTTCTGTTACTAAAGCTTTTCGAAAATGGAGAAGCTTTCTGTAACTCAAATTCACAATACTGTTGCAAAAACAAACAGCTACTGCAACACAATTTTATATTATTTTTTTTTGTTTTAATTAGATTTTGTTGTATATTTAAAAAGGGTGATATTCCATACCTCAGAGTATAAATCAGACGCTTCAGGAAACTTTTCCATTAAAATATGGCAAAGGTGATGAAGTAGTGAGTGTTTATGTACAGTATCTTTAACTTCTGGAACTTTAGACAAATATTCGATTTGGAAGCCTTTTACTTCTGTTCCGTTTAAGAATATTCCAATTGACAATAAAGTACTGAGAATTCCGCGGAAAGTTTTATTCATTCTTAATATTTCAATTCCCTGTTTGAGATCCATCAAAGGTTCGGCTATTTCCCTTTCAGTATTTTCAAAATCTAATTTGAAAGCCCATAATTTTAGTCTTGCCGGTAGTTCTGATATAGACGCCAAGGTGAGTAAAAATTGTTCAGCACTTCCTAGTGGAAGGTCAGGGTTTGACGCTTGAGCCTCTTGTATTTTAGTCCTCTCCTCTTCTGTTGGCAGCATTGTTAATAATTTCTCAATTCCCTCTCTGTTCATAATAGTTGCATCCATTTTTAAAATTGCAGTCTTAATAGAACGTGGTGGTGGCAACTTCGTCATTCCTATATTAATTGCGTTAGATCGTTTTGGATCCAAAACGATTATTTCTTTATTTTTATTTAGTTCCTGTTGTTTCTAGAAACAAATACAAAAATATATTAAAATCAGGTCTTAATATTAACATACTATACACAGTGGTAATGTATTGTCTTTGTTTTCTTCAACCTATTTGAATATGTTTCTTTCCTTATATACTATTTAAAATAATAGCAATACAATAACAAATTTAAGAAACATGGAGGGAGGATAAATAAAAAAAATATGTAACACATTTCATGTCTACTGATATAACCCAAGCTGTCCATGCACTATATACCATGCGTAGAAAAATGAAATATAATGAAGGGAAAGTCGAAAAAAGTAGATTCTACAAAATACATAGTAACTTCGATTTCGAGACGAACGTTTTAAAAACTAAAAAGTGTGCTAAATTTATTCACTAACTGAACATTTACAATTCAATCTCGAAATCTTATGTAGTTTTGAATATAGTAACACATAGAGTGTAAACGACAAAAATCGTGCAATTAACCGTCAAAAAATCATTCGACTCACCTCCTGAAGTTGGTACAAGCCGTGCGCAGTTCACCAAATAAAATAAAATACTAATTAATTAAATATATCATTACATTGGAACATGGTTCTATTTATATACACGAAAAAACAATTATTGAAAAACTACTTACATCTGTGTAGTTGCGGTAATGACGTAAAAAATGTTCATTCAACATTCAACAACAAACAAAACATTTGCTGATGAAATTGATCTATTCACACTTCCAAAACAGATTTTGCAAAAAAAATAGAATAAAATTTTGATTGTTTAGTTTAGAACAACATCAACTTTGAAATTGTGCTTTAACTTTTTTGCTTTTAGAATAATCAAAAATTTACTACTTCCTTATTTTTTTATGTGCTTTCAAATTGTGTTATCCAGTGTTGTCCAAGAAATAGGTACACACTAATTTTAGTCTTTTTTTTGGATGCCTTATTGTAATTTACCATTTCTAAATGCTTATACATATACTTCTTATATACAAACACGTATTACGTCATTAATGCATTTGAACAATGTTAAAAAATTTTGATCTATTCTGATTAAATCACCATTTAAATGAAAAGGCTTCCCAAATGAAAACCAACAGAACAGGTAGGTACTATACATATAGTCACGTGGCTAATAAAACTACCAGATTAAAAGTACCAAAAGTACATCCACCAGCCACAATAATAATAATATATCGTTTCATATATGCCTATTTACCATTTAATTTTAAATAAAATCCGTGTAAGGAACAATTAAATTTTCTTAACTCACCTTTGTGATTAAATCCTTTGCTCTAGACTCGAAAAGGTGCTCTAATTTCTGGGTGTCAACAGTAACTGGTGTAAGTTCATCCCAAATTAACCCAGTTTTTAACTTAATAGACGTAATTGGGTCGTCTCGCACTTCTTTCCAAAATAGTTTCACCGTTTTTTTGTTCTTCTTGATGGGTATTTTACTTTCAGTTGTTAGTTTGGATGAAGATTTTTGTATGTTACTTCCAAATATTGGCGCGTTTGGTGGTGTAGGTGGAGATATTCTGTTGTTTAATGGTGGCGGCGGAGGTGCACCAATAGCAATTCCCATGTTAGTAATGAGGGGAGGTGGTGGAGGAGGAATTCCAGTCGCTGGTAATGCTGGTGCTAAAATATCATTTTCATCGTCAGATGTTAAGTCGGTGAAGTCAATGTCACAAAGGTTAAGAGATCTGTTTAACGATTTTGCTAATTCTTCCCACCGAAGTTCGTTCTCAGTTTTTTTTGTTTCAAGTTTAGGGAGCGATTCCGAAGTAGGACTTTTGATTAACGCATTAGATTTTGATTTGGCCAAACCTTCTTTTGCTTTAGATATTAAACCGGACATATCCCCTATTCGATTAACTTTTTCTTCGGTTGGACTTTGCAAAATATTTTGACTTGATAGTTTTTGGGTCAAATCTTTAACAGTATTTTCTTTTTTAATTTGCAGAATTGTCTTTCTATCGTTTTCGTTTACATTTTCAATGTCTTCGATGTTATCGTAGGATTGCTGTTCATCCGGAGGTTTTTTGCCATTATACATCATAGACAGAATCCACGGTTTTTTGTTCATCAAACCAACACTATTTTCCTCTGTGTCAAGTTTATTAACGGAATTCATGTATGCAAGATCTTTACGATTTGGAATTTTATTTACGATGTTTCCGTTTATTAGCCTTTGACCATTGCCATATGTGCCTCCTAAAAGATATAAGCCCATCATTTTGGAAATTATTTAACAAACACCGTTCAATATATTTTGACAAGTTGACACATAAATGAAAAATTATGTGGCATGAATTGAAGCAACAAATAAAATGTACCTACCTGGTGACATACTGCCATTGTTGTTATTAATATTATTATTATTGTTAGTAAAAGTTTTGTTGTCACTATTTTCATGTTGCGATACGAAACAACCGCGTAGTAGAGCAGCAGATTCCTGTTGTTCTCTCATGAAACTTCTTTGCCTTTCGGCCCGTTCTCTACGCCTCCTCAAAGCTGGAGTAACACCGACATCATTCGCTAAGCAAAGCAAGTATTTTTATTCAAAAAGCAGCAATGTTATAGAATTTGAAAAAGTCAATGAGGTGTGCCAGTAAATTCATAAATGAGATAAAAAGTGTTAGCTTCAACTTACCTTTTGATTTTTCTATATTGCAACTTCCACTTAATCTAACATCTTCCGGTCCAGCCGAAGATTCATCATTATCGTCGTCTTCGTTATTCGAGAGATTAAACGTTTCCAAATGATTTCTCAGGGTTTGTGATAAACTTGTATGAACAGGTGCAGTTCCCGTAGAATGCCTTCGACTTTTTCTCCTTTCCGATGATTCTATAACAGATTTTCTATTTCTTAACGTTTTTCTGAAGCTCTCATCTAAATGCCTAAGTGGGATTCCCTTATCTTCATCATCATCTTCATATTGTAAAACTGCTTCATAAATTTGGAATTGTTGCAAAAGATCTAAATCTGTCCCGGGCTTCGACATGTATCTCTGAATTATAGCCTCGATTCCCTGCTCTTCTAATGAATCTGTTTGATCGTAGTAGGTGTCTTGATCAGGAATACCGTTAAAACATTTATTTATTAAAGTCATGGCGTATATAAGAAGTTCGGTGTCAGCTGAATCAAAATCCTTCAATAATTTCATTACATTACTCCACGGTTGCAAACCATGCGAACAATCAACAATTTCAACGGCCTTTATTAATAGCATGCAATTAGTTTCTGTGTATTCGACAAACACTAGAAGTAGTTTCAATGCTGTTTTGACAACCAGCCTAAACTTAGAGGAAATGAGGCTGTACAACCACTGAACCGTTTCGTTGTGTTGAATGACGCCATTCATACCATCCACATAAAGCATTACTTGCCCTAAAGCTCGCAAAATGTAGTTTTGATAATTCTGATCAGCTTCAGATCCAACTTTAATTAAGCAAGCTAGCCCATCGTTCTGGACGAATTCATGTACTAAATCTTTATCTTCTTGAAATATTTGCTTCAAAGAAAACAATGCTCTTCGTAGATCCCTACCTTCCGATGTTAATAGCTTTTCTGAAAACAGAAAAAAACTTCCTAGTAATTTAAGATTTTTATTTAAGAAATAATATACGTTAAAAGTATGCGTTCGACATCTAATTTACATAGTAGGTCAAAAGATTTGAATTTTGACGACATACATAACGCCCATCTTATAGTTATATAATTTCTATATTTGATTTTCGGTCAGTTTATCTTACGAGTAGAAAACTGTAGTTACAACTACATTACTTAGCAATAAATTTACGATTAGTATTGTACATACACCAGTCAAACTAAAATAGGTACCTAAATTGTTATTCACATCATTCACAAAAGAACTTTAGATTGAAAGTAAAATTATTCTGCACTTTATTTATTCAACAATAAAACTACCTGAAGTAAATATTAATGACAGACAGAGAAAGCGCCATTTGCATAAAAGTCATTATTTGCTCTAGTTGTATGCGCTTCTGTGCTTGGTAAAGTTTCACGCACAATAATTGTAAAAAATAGCTTTCTATTTAAATAAAGTATTAAATCATGAACAGCTTTCATTCATTAGACACGACTGAAAATGACTGAATCAAAAGAAAGCATTGATTTTGGTTAACAAATAAAAACAGTTAAAAAATTAGATATATTAACACGAGTGTTCATTTGTTCACTCAAAGTAACAGTAGGTAATTAGTATATTTAAATTGTAAAAACATTATGATAAAAACAACGTAGTCTACTTATTTATATTTTTTAATTTACCACTCAGTTTTGCAATTGGTTTCTTTATTTTTTTTTTTTAATTAGTAGCGAAAACTTTGATGTAACATTATTCTTCTTCATTTATTGTGGTCTATTTATGATCATATTATCACTTAGTTAATAATAAATTATCCAACTCTTATTATAGGAGTTTAAACAATTAAATACGTACCTATTATGGTATGAACACGTACAGAGAGCTGTGTTCGTAGAACCAGCGAATTCTTTTTACTAAAACGAAAAACAGAAATAGAAAAATATAGAAATTAGATTAAAACTTAAACTATACTTGACATTTGCTTAGATCGTATAGTTACAATAAATGCAATAAATGATATTCACAACCACATTACCCACACATGTACGTACATGTTCTAATTTATTTCTATACAAAAATTCCATGAATATACTTTCTGGTAGTTTTTATTTAAATTATTTTCCATTACAAAATGGAAGCTGTTGTTTTTAATAAAACTGTCATAGATTTGAAAGTTTAAATTACGTTCCAAAAAGAAGATTATTCTGCACTGTCGTATCTTAAGGTAAACTTCAGCTACAGTGCCTACACATAGCTAACTTTAATTCCACAGGTAAGGTGTCATGTCATACTAAACAATTCGATAAAATTACCTGCAAAAATAACAAAGGGGTCCATGAGAACAATTCTCCATTAGTGTCATGAGTAATTTTGTATCTCGATGAGCAATAGATCCGCAAGAAGTTGTTAAAGTTGAACAAGAGGAAAAAGAGTTCTCAAAGATGTCGTCTATACTTTCATCTTCTGAACTGGACAATGAAATACTACCTTCAAATTTAGTAAAATTTTCGAAAAAGTTTTCTAGTCCCTCTGTTGTTACTAAATCATCTTCCTCAACTGAATACATTTCTTCGCCTGCATCTTCGTACTCTAACGAAGAATTATAATATGTTCCTCCATCATCGTCAATATTACTGCCATCGTCATCAGTTTTATCCTTAGAAATGGTTTATATTTACTTACTTTCAAAGCACTTATAATAAAAAAAGGTCAATTCTATATAGCAGTTAAAAAGTTTGTAATGTAAATGTTTGCATAATGTGTTAGGTATAATTATTTTAAAATTTACGGATGATTTTATATGCGATTAATCGTTCAAAAAGAAGTAAGATTTATCAAAATCAATAGTTATGATTATTTAATTGTTAAATAACAGTTTTACATATTTTAAATCTACTTATTTAAAAAGCAGGTTTATTTTACAAGTATAACAAGTTAATCAAAACACGATATAAAATGTGAAGTGATGTTTCGAAATGCAACTGTTTCCTTTCCTAGGTTATCAGGAGATAAAGGTACTAATATTTTTTTATCTTTTGTGTGCATTTTCTTTGAACAACTATATGCAATTTTAATTGATGATCTCGAGTTTTAATAGAATGGTGATTAATTAAAATCAGGACAGGAGCAAAAAAGAGTTATTAAATCAATAGCAACGTTTTGGAGAAAACTATTATCAAGGTAAGTTTTTAATATCAATAATTCTTTTCCTGCACGTGGTGTCGGATGTGAAAATGTGAAGTAAAGGTAGAAATCTTGCACTCAAGTTAAGTTTTACTTTGGCATAATATGTGTAAATAAAATAATAAATTACATAAATAACAGACCAGAAATGTAGTCCGGTCGAAATTTCTTTTACGAAGCAATTACAATAAATTTTATACTAAGAAACAGTTAAAAGACCCCTAACAGGGCTAAAATTTAAATAATCCTATTTTTAAAATTATTATGGAGACTCATCCTTCACCATAGACAGTTCTAACAAAATATCAGAGTATGGGCACTTTGATTAGCCTGCTATCTGGTGAATATGTGAATATATCTTGTTGGATCTCATCAGCGCGTCGTCGTTTCTTGTACTTCATTAAACGCTGTCTCTCAAGGCCGCAGGTAGAGTTAGTCTGTGTTCTGTCAAAACTGTCTGATGAGGTTCAACCACATCGAGATCACGATCCGCGTCTGGTAGTTTCGATAGAACACTAACCTGCAAGAACTTTTTTGTTCGATATGGTTATGTGCCGTTGACAAATGGTGAGCTACGCCGTAGATTCAGTTTAGCAAGTAGATATCTACCAACGTAAATGGACCTTGTTGAACATATTTAAGGCGGCCAACTTTATAATAAGTCAATGCGGGACAAGACTCGAATTTTTTAGAATTGTTGGTGGTGTACTTAAATTAGAAACAAACAACACTACTACTGAATTAACATCTATTTTTAAAGTCATAATTTTCGCATGAGTGGCGATTTTTAGTAGGTCTGGGTTTTGGTTCAGAATGTCCAAAAAGTTTTCACAGGTGCCCATATTAAATTTTATAATTAGCTATGCACGTAATGTTTTTACTTTTAGTGACGACTTTTTGGAAACGAGGAATGCGGGACATACGACGCCTTAGACGATTTGTGGGACTATTTTATTAAATATTGCAATGCGGGATTTCAACTGTCATTACGGGACGGTCCCGCAGAATGCGGGACGGTTGGCCGCCTTATGCTAGAAAAAATGTCGACACTTGTGTAGGTATGGGTACTATTCAGCAGAGCATGAATTACAACACCCCCGGCCCCTTTTTTATATCTCGTCACACTAAGAAGTAGCCCTCTCTTCCCCTTATTTACGAATATATTTTATAAACGACCATCATGTTCAGTGTTTTTGTGAAAATGTTCCATAAATCAAATGATACTTACATTTCACGCTAAGAATGAATTATTCTTAAACTTAATATCGCCTCCTGATCCGACGAAACTTGAACGTTGACGAAACTCTTGTACAAATTAGAGTGGGTGGCGGTGGGTGGAGCGGCTTGCGAGTTTCGATGATTTAGGGAGCCGGATCATAGGTTCAACCATAATGGGGGGGGGGGTTCTTAAAGAGAAACTAGGCTAATACAAGTCCCTGAAGGGGGCAGTAGCTCTTTCAGTACTCAGGGTGGCACGGTATGGCACTCTGATGCACAATACTATGATGTGGAAGACAACGAGAAACCACCCCATTATGATATTCTAAGAAAAACAAACCGAACTGAAATAATGGCATCCTCTGGGGTAAACTGCTCCCCCATTCGGATGACCGGACGAGGACTACCTCGGCGGATATCATTAATAAGATAATAGGCTTTTGACAATCTTAAATGGGACAATATGTTAAATATGCTCAAAAATATAGGGATGAGTTACAGAGATAAAAGAGTGATACTTAGTATTTATAAAGAGCAACAGGCAGCTGAGGAGCTGGAGCTGCAAATAAGAGAAGTAAAAATTAGGTAAGGAGTCAGACTTTCTAATCTGTACATCGAAGACGCGATGAGCATCAATAAAGACAGTACAACTGTAGGGATACAGGGACAAAAGATTAGTATGTTTAGATTTGCAGATGATATAGCAGTATGAGCATCTAGCAAGGAGGAGTTAGAGATAGCTTTATTTAAAATGGAAGAGGTGTTGACAAAACAGTATTGTACGAAAATAAATAATAGTAAAACAAAAATACTGGTATGCAAGGGAAGAAAAAGTAGGGAAAGAGCGAATATAAAGATAGGGAACGAAAAATTAGAATCAAAATCTGGGCGGAAGGAGCAGTAGGGGTATAAATAAAAAGATAGCGCAGGGTCGAGTCGCCTTCAATAAAAGGAAGTCACTTTTATGCTCGCGAACGATTAATTTATAAATTCAAGATTGTTAAGAGTGAATGTTTGGAGCTTGGCGCTGTATGGGTGCGAAACATGAACGGTAGGTGCGGCGAAAAAGAAAAAGTTAGAAGCGTTCGAAATGTGGTGTTGCAGGCGAATGATGAGGATACCGTAGATAGAGAAGGTTAGAAATGAAGAGGTATTAAAAAGAATAGTCAATAAGAAATAGGCGAGATATGTTGATACGACACCTTCTCAGACATGAAGGTCTATTGAGAAACATATTAGACTTATTAGAGGCAGAAACAAGAGTTAGCAGCAGTAGAGGTAGACCTAGATTAGGTTACTCTTCGTAAATAGTTAAGGATGTGGGTTGTTCTAGCTCTAGGGAAGTGTTAAGATTAGCTCAGGATAGCAAGGGGTGGATGTAGGTGTCCAACCAGTCTTAAGACTGACGACCTTATGATGACGAATAAATTAATAACAATGCAGAATGTAGTTGTCTTAATTAACTGTTACTTCAGGTCGTAGCAATTGGAATTTCTTATTCTGCAACTCTTGCCACGTGGGCTCGCATCAAATATCCTCATTTGGTTGACATTGCTTATGCCTCCAGTGGCCCACTTAAATCAAAACAGGATTTCTATGGTAAGTTCATTCATTCGACAATGTAGGTGGTACTGATTTAAGTCTTTTGTAGTACGTCTTAAATTTTTATAGCACTACTTTAAATTGTTTATACGTTTATTGAATAAAATAATTCGAAGTGGTCTGTATTCTGTCGAAACTGCCTGACGCGAATCGCGATTTCGATTTTTTTGGATCTCATCAGCGCGGCGCAGGCAGCTTCGACAGAACACAGACCAACTTTTACCTGCTGCCTTAACAGCGCGTTTTAGAAAATACGACAAATGGCGCTGTAAACGTCACCTGTAGTACAGTGCTACATTTTAGGATTTCGTATATGGATATCTACTTGCTGAAACGAATCCCGGCGTAGCTCACCTCAACGTGGTAGGCACGTTACCATAATCGAATAGTAGATATCCATATATTTAAATGGACCTTGCTGAAGCATACGTAATCCTAAAATGTAGCACTGTACTACAGATGGCGTTTACAGCGCCATTTGTCGTATTTTCTGTAACGTTTATGATTCGCATTCCCAACTCAGAAGGCAGAGAGACGTTGTAATAGGCATATGGTTCTTTATGAATGCTGCTACAAAGAACTCTGTCGAGTTGTCGATTATTAAAATTGGCGAACCACTATTTGTGTTTTATTCTACCTTTAATGCAAGCAGTATGTAATTATAGTTCCGACTAAACCTTACCAAATTGTCACTGAAGATACTGCCAGCATTTCTTTTGTGACTTATACTTTATGAAGATTGGAAAAAACTTTAGCGGTTGTTGTAGAGCAAACAAAATAACTTAAACCCCAACGCGAAAACACGACAGTAACAAGGTTACCTTCAGGGACTGAAAAGTGCTTCGTACAGCTAAACTGTCTTGTTTTCGCGTTGGGGTTTGAGCTATTTTGTTTGTTCTACTTATCCTTT